ACTGGCCTGACTGCTGTCGAACTGGCACTTGGACCGCGGCTGGCTCTCCTGCTGGTCGTAAGCTCTCCAACTCAAATCTCTATCCATCTATTCTCCGTTCGTTTGTGTGCATAATAAACTATTCCTTCTACTCTGGCCTTCCCAAGACTTCTCTTCTACTAAGCGACCGTGGTCTGAAGATCGCAGTTGCCGGGTTTTACTCACTTAACCCCCTGCGATAGATTCTAAATTGATTGCTTAGGAAATCCCGCTTGAGCGGTCAGAATTGATGGATGCCATATGTTGCGGCAGACTGGATGGGTAAATCGAACCACCGCGGGATTACACTCACGACTCCCGGTGGGTGCCTCGTAGCTCAGTTGGCTAGTGTTGGCTGTACTAAAGCCCTCCCCTTAACAATACGGCCAAATGTGCCCAACCCCTCGATCGATAAGTTTAGAAAAATGTAATTTTTACGCAAATAATTCCTGTTTCATCGATGTTCAGCAGAAACAAGCCTACACTCGACTGGCTATTGGTATCAGTACTTGTTGACAGTATCGATCTGGTACATGAAATTAGCCAAAACCTCGAATTTCTAAACTCAATTACACATACAATTTTCGAAGCTGATCGTACAATTTTCCTCTTTTCGATTCACGCTGACGTGGGCTTGAATGACTATACATTCACTTCATAGCGACTGTGGCGTTAGTCAACCGCCTGAGTCACAAGCCAATTGGAAGACACGTGGCACTGAGACAATGACTCAGCCAATGGTTACATCGAATTGCCACCCGCATATCAAGCGTCGCAAAAAGAATTTAATAGCACACGGCCGAAGGTGACTGTCACGACCCAGACGGACTTGAGATTACGGTCGACAAAATTCAAAACTGGCACCTAAAGTCTTATTTGCAAGCCGTCAGATTTTGGAATAACAGGAAATCGCTTGAACCGGATTTAAGAATTCTTACACTGTTGTTCCGAACCGTTGCTTGTTAAAACTTAAGTCCCATAAGGGTCAGCCCTCGGGCCGCTTTTATTCATAAACTATGTAACTGACCAAGTACTTGAGGTGAAATCGGGTATAGCGCTCTTTGCAGATGACAATGAACTATGGAAGGAATAAAAAAACTAAGAGACTCCCAGATATTACAAGAGGGCATGGACCAACAAGTGTGTGGTAGTGCACTTAATGTCAGCCGGACGCCGAACAAATGCACCCTTACGATAGTATCTCCTAGAAAAAATCCGGTTTTTGTCCCACTTAAGATCCTTAAATCAAATTCAGTTTCTTCTACTGTTCCACATTTTCTCCAAAACAGACTAAAAATTACGAAAGCAACTTAGGGATCCACCTAGTAGCTTTTTGTCAGTTCGCTTAATGTTAGCGCAAATCTTTGAAGTAGCGTTAAAAATTAGGCTTGCACGAGACAGGCGTAGGGAGTTCCTAGCTGCACATTTATCTTAACACTGATTCTATTAACCTTTTCTTGTCCTCCTATTTTCCGAGCAGATTTCTCCATGACTCCAAGAAAGGACCATCGGGAATTCAGGAGATCCTCTTGAAACTATTTTTCTCTGCCTCTTGTCCCCCAAAAACCTAGAGGTCTCCATAAACCATAACTCAATCAAACGATGGAGGCCATATGGACGTACTCAATCTAAACTACTCACCATCATCTGAATTCCATTGCGGCTCCTGAGATGTCGAGGTCCCACGGCAACTGATGCTCCTTCGCGAGATTTCGTATTAAGCGCATTAGCGACCACGAGTGAACTATACACACATTTCATTATCACATTCTGAACTGCCGTTGTAGTATCAGCCTACTATACACCTCTATCTTATTTTCCTAAGCAATGTTTTTCTCCTACACACGTTTTTTGAAAATGGGGACCCGTTGAACTCTGCCTCCATTTTCAATGCAGGATTTTTTTTAACTCTCTACTTTCTAGTCCACCAGTAATAGCAAAA